TCCAGGCGGGCGGCCTCAGAGGCCGGCGTCTTGGACTTCTGTTTTGAAGCCAGTGTCCAGTGGACAGCGAGCATTCGTTACATAATGATTAATCCGGACCCTGTCATTTGTTCCATTGGGTTGGTAACCCTGTCTTATCGGCCGATCCCATTGCTGTCTTTATTGGCTAATCAGTTTCAAGAAAGAAATCTACACTTAGTAAAAGACTCTTCAGTGCCTTGCTCTATGCTAAGCTCTAGGGATAGGCAGGAAAGAGGGAGATTCTTTGCCCCTTCTCTGAGCAGCCGGGGATTTTACTAAATTGACCTCGTCCTAGCCCAGGAGTTCTTTACCTAACACAGTGGGGGCTTCTTAGAATCACCTGGAAGAATCGTTCTAAATATTGATGCCTAAGCTGTACTCCCAGAGGCTCTGATTCAGTAGGGAATGGGGTCTGGATGTGGATGTTTTGAACCTATGGTGATTTTTATTCGAGGTGGTATGGTGGGTATAATCCATATAATTTCTATAAGGCTTTTTGAAAAAATGAAAATAGCCTGTGAACTCGAGGTCCATTTGGTTCAATTTCCCTCCTGGTGTAAGGCTATCTTCTGCAGTATCCCTGAGCCTGGTCAGCATCAATTTGAACATGTCCCTTCCCCCAGAGACAGGGGACTCAGCCCCCTGCAGAGGCAGCATGTTCAGCCTCAGAACACCTTCACTTGCCCTAAGTTCTTCCTTTAGTCTTTCCTTATAGCTACCCTTTTCCCCCTCCTGCCCAATGGCTCCTCAGCCAAGGAGTTTCTGCTAAATGAACCCCTGGCCTTGCAGTCCTAGGAACAATTATAGGAGGTTTCCTAGAGGGAGTGACCTTCCAGTTCTTTTTTTTCTTTTTTTTTTAAGATTTTATTTATTTGACAGAGAGAGGGAACACAAGCAGGGGGGAAGTGGGAGAAGGAGAAGCAGGCTTCCCGCCGAGTAGGGAGCCCAATGTGGGGCTCCATCAAAGGACCCCGGGATCATGACCCGAGCCGAGGGCAGATGCTTAGTGACTGAGCCACCCAGGTGCCCCCTTCCAGTTGTTCTGATGCTTTATGTCACAGAGATCTGTAAGGGCAGACCCTTAGGGCAGGAAGGCGCCTCTTTATACACACACACACACACACACACACACACCTCTCTTTTTTGTAATAGTTATGTTCTAAAAGTTCCTGTGAACATTAAATTAGTGAATACTGAACCATTGCTCCTGGGAAAAATACAGGGTTAGACTTCTGCAAGCCTCTGGTTTGTCAACCTATCAACACATAACCTTACTTGTTTTCTGTTTCTGTTTAAAGGCACCTTATTTAGTATATATTGTTGATTCATTAACATTGAACTCAAGGCCAGTAGCACTATAACTCATGTCTGAACTAAGTTTATCTAACACCTATTTTCTTCATAAGGCATATCATACCCCCCCTTTTTTTTAGCAATTACTATCTTGGTTTAGTTAATCATATTTCATAGAAGCTGAAAACACTCATTTCTCCTTTATATGAATAACCCAAAGCACTATAAATTACAATGTGCAGAATACTATATAAAAGAATTCTCATAAAAACTGGCTCTTTTTCATCATAGGGCAACTACTGTCGTTTCCTCTGACTTGTACAGCATCTACCCGAATGCTTTGTGATGATCTAAATTTAGGTAAGTACAAATCACAGCAAAAAAAATGATCTTGGAAATAACATCTATTCCATGACACCAATACTACAGTTTTTGGAGTCACAGTAAGATACACAGAATTACATCTGTAATTAATATGAATGCCAACATTTCGAGCAATAATTTGTTACATGGCAAACAAAATCAAGAAAGCAACCATCAAACAAAAGAGACTCATAGCTTCAGACAAGGCAAATTCCAGGATAGCAATGAGAACAGCTGCTACTTCGGTGAAAGGTTTCTGGCATAACCAACGATAAGGCTGCCGAAGACTGTTCCAATACCAGCACCAGAACCAGCCACTCCAACTGTTGCAGCAACTGCACCAATAAATTTGGCAGCAGTACCAATGTTTCTGCTGATTGCACTGGTCTGAAACTCCCTTTGGATTCCTGAGACACACCATTCTGGGCCCCATTAAATACCGTAGAGCCTTTGTGGGTTTACTTAATTTCTATTACTGCTATTCTCTCTCCAGTCCTAGCGTCTGGGCAAGATAACGCTGATGGAGAAATTGGTCTGGATGCAACTCTGGATCCAACTCGAATCAGAGTGGGTGTGCAGGCGAGCTTGATGCAGGCGAATATCTTACGCAGGGCAATGCAGCTGGAGGACCTGGGCGACCGGCGACCTGGTCTCCTCTCCCGGGAGGGGTGCCTGCTGGGGTGACGCCAGCAGAGATCAAAGGATTGGCCCCTATCATGCCCTTCATGCACCTAGGAACACTAGACAGCACTCCAGGCACTATGCTTGTGTGCCATTTTAAACAGCAAAAGCACAAACAAAAAGCACAAAAACATGAAAAATGTGGCACTAAATAGATCATGAGATAGACACTCATCGGCAGCATGGGAGTTGAAACAAGAAGGCAGCGGGCGTGGTATTGTTCTACCTCAGCTGGGAACAGATGCCTGGGGCAACTCAATTTTTTTTGGCCACCTCAAGAGCTCTTGAAGTACTGATTTTGGGGTTATAAATAAATTTTTGTTGAGTAGGCAAATTTGTAAATTCAGAATCAGCAAATAAAAATCATCCCACATGTACATGTATATTCCTTCTGTTAAATGCTAAAGGTTTTGCTGCTGTCACCATTTCATCCTCACAAAACAACGTATGGGAACTGTGTATTGGTTTAAGATTTCAAATCCACTTGTTTATGACTTAATGCACTTGTTTTGATCTAAGGGTGAATTTGGAAGGCCATATGAGGATGATAGCAGCCGAACTGTTGTGCTACCAGGTGCTTATAGATAGGAACATATGGAGAAGCAACTATGACATAATGGACATTTAAACTTAAATACCAAGAATTTATGAGGACTTACTGAGAATGTTCGGTCTGGGCAAGGCTACTCTTTGCTGATCTAAACAGATCTCTGAAGATCTTGAGACATTTGTTCCTGTGGTGGCCAGGATACTCTTGGTCCTCAGTGGTGTTAAAGACACAATGGTCTGAAGAAGAGAAAGACATCTTTTCCTGTCTTGGCAAGGCCGTCTTTCTGGGCGGTGGTCAACAGAGTGCCAGCTAGCTGTGTGCCCCAGCAGCAAGGAACGAAAGCTGGCAGCTGATTCCTAGCTTAGTTGGGAGGATTGATTCACAGAGGACCAACTCGTAGACAGCATATCACAACTAAACTTGGACTTTATTTCATCTCCTTTTTGCCTGGAACTATAATGTAATTAATCTATCTTTGTTTTGGAGTATGTTATTATTTTTTTATTTTTTAAAAAGATTTATTGGGGCGCCTGGGTGGCTCAGATGGTTAAGCGTCTGCCTTCGACTCAGGTCATGATCCTGGAGTCCCGGAATAGAGTCCCGCAT